GGGCCACAGGCTGCTGGGGAAGTGGTTCCCATTGTTTCTGTTTCCTCCTGGGGGGCTGCCCGAGAGCAGGCTGCAGGCCTGTGGATGTCAGAGTGGCCTTGAGAGCGCCTTAAACAGTCAAGAGGGGGGCGGAGTTGGGAATCAGCCCCTTGATATCAAAGATAAACAATGATCAAAGAGCGAGGGGGCGAGAAAGTTCCTCAGGCTCAGAAAACAGAGCACAGATGGACTCAGGCACTTCAGCCTCACTATTTCACAGAAGATGCTCAGGTCCAGAGCGGGCAAGTGGCCGCTTAGCGCTCAGATTACTTCCTGGGGCTGAGAGCAAGAGGATGCGAAGACCTGGGTCCCTTGTCCCTCCATCCTGTGTTAGCAGAGGACAGTTCTCAATGCCCCACCGGGCAGGACAACCCCTGCCCAAGTGCCTGTGAAGACCCCATGCCCCAAAGCCTCAGCAGGGCTCAAAGCTGATTTGCAGACTAAACGAATGAGTGCAAACAAATGAGAGACTCCTGGGTGATGAACGAAAGTGCAGACTCGCCTTCCCGGTTCTCACAGTGGTTACTACGGAGTAGTAGGTCCTCTGCATGTGTGCCGTGATGATGGAGACCATGCACCCCTCCTGAGAGCCCCCGGGACCTTCCCAGTGGTCCTCAGGCAGCCTGCTTGTCCTCCTTACACAGGGCCGGAGGAGTTGACAGCACTGGTGCATCCCGTGTTCCAGATAAGACAGTTTGAGTGTTGGGAAACCAGCCACCGGCAAAACAAACTGAGTTCAGGGTGAAAGATCAGAGTCCTTCCTTTGGAAGAGACGAAAAGCTACAAACAAACCCTTTCCTGCCCATCGAGCCTCCTCGTCTGGGATAAATTGTTCATCTCTGTCCTCCGCAGCTCTTGAGAGCCTCTCTCCCCTGCAGCTTCAAGCAGGTTTGTTTTCCAGCAAAGAGAAAGGTAGGGCTCTCATCCCCATCATGAATCGGGGAGCCACGCTCAGCAGATGGATGAGCTTAGGGGGAAGAGGCCAAAGCATCAATGGTGGGTGCAGAGGCAGGTTGTGTTCTCCTCTGCTTTTCTTCCCTCCCTCTCTGCCCCCACCACGCTCTCTCAGGCCTTCTTTCTGTCTCTCCCATAGGTCAGGGGCAAAGGAAGACCTGACTTCCAGCGAGGGGCACCTGGGGAAGGAGAACGCTTGATATCCTGCATGCTCGGTTCTTAGTGCAATCCATATTTAATCTTCCAAACAACCCTCTAAAGTGGATACTATTTACTCTACAAATGAAAGCAAATCAAACCCTGAAATTCAAAGCAGTTTGGGAACTTGTCCAAAGTCGCACGGCTAGAGGATTTGAAGCTAGGTTGTGCCAGCGCTCTTCCTTTTAGGAGGATGGCTTCCTGCTGGCCTTGGGGCCTTGGCCTCTGGCTCCAGCGCCCTGGGGTGAATGATGGCGGGCTGGCTCCATGGGAACACAGTTACCAGTCAATGGGAATGGTAACTCTGGTTGCAGAAATCACGCAAAGAAAGTGTGACAAAATGAATTCAACCGCACGGACTCAGGGTCACACATCCCTTCCCGGGCCCATCCCCATGAGCTCCCCTCTGTACCTTGACCTTGGCAAGTCAGCAGCTAAGCAGTCCCGGCACCTCAAAAATCCAGAGTAGGATGGGCTGGTGAGCACCTCGACTCTCCTTTTAGAGCAATTTCTAAGTACTTGGACCACAATGTTGCAGCCAGGCATGCAACTTGGATGTGGTTACATTTAAAGCTTCCCTCTTCCTCACATCATGGGCCGTAACAGGAGCCTAAGAGGAAAAGGACTGAGTGGCAGCTGAAACCAGCAGAAAGAGAACAGCTGTGAGGGTTCTCGCTATAGCCTTGGAGCAAACTTCCTACCTCCCGTGAGCTTTAGTTTTTGCGTAAAACCCAGATCATGATACTATTATCTATTATGATTATCATTATGTGAAGGAGTGAAGAAATAAAACGAAGTCACTGTGGTCAAGCTGTTAAATTACTAAAGTCAAGTAGACTGAGGCATGAGAAAATGATTCCATTCTTGCTTTAACCAGCCTGGGAACTTAAACTTTTGAATCCGTGTGTGTGTGTGTGTGTGTGTGTGTGTGTGTATCTCCTATAGATAACCCTCAGGTTACTCTCTGAAAGACTTAGCAAAGAAAGTTCACATGTCTAGACCACTGGCCATATGGAGAAGGACCATCTCAGACCAATCCAGAGGCTAATAAGAGTGCAGGACGGAGTCTCCTCAAGCATGTACTTTGTACTATAGGAACGGTTAGCTTTTCTCTCCTCTTCGGAACACTCTGGGTATTGCCTAGTTGTGTTTCTGGTTTTTAAACCCCAAGACCCTTGAATAAATCTTTACCACTTATTTCTAACCAACCCTCCTGATTCATTTACGCTCCGTCGACACTGTGTCATTGACTCTGTTAATGAGAAGGAAATGAAATTGAGAATCAAATAAAACGAGGTCATTAAGGCGCCAGCACAGCCCACCCTCGTAGATGCTGACTGTATCTTTGTTTCTTTTTGATCCCATGGGCAGCAAAACCAGGGAGCAGGTGGAACTGGGGCCTCGTGGGGGTCACACGAATAGCTCTCTGATGTATGGCAGTGAACGCACTGAAAGACGAAGTCACGTCAGCTCTTGTATGGAAAAATGATGGCGATAAAGAAATTTCACTTATATGCCCTTTTCTCCTCAAACGCTAAAGATCTCAAAATATGCAAACCATGCTCCACAACAGAAAGTGTCTCTGCTTTCCTAGCTCTGTGACTGTGTGCATGATGATGATTCCTAACTCAGGGTTCTTTCAACAATTAAAGATAAACACGTGAAGTGGTTTTTTTCCAACCCATAAGTCCCCTGCAAAAAAAAAAAAAAACCAGAAAAAATAAAAAAGGTGTTATCTTACCATCTTACCACTTTCTACTCCTGAGGCAATTCTAAACATCTCTCCGAGGAAGCCAAACAAAAACAAAACAAATTCTTTCCCTCCCTTTAAGTTATTTCCCTCCATTTTAAATGAAGACAGCGAGCCTGGAAGTGGTCCACTTTGGGACGAAAGAGCCAGTGACAGGAAGACTGAGCTCTGAGGCGTATGTCTGCCAGCACTTTCGCCGTGATGTTTGTCAGCCTTGAACCACAAGCATGTCTGAGCGCCTTGTCAACAGGTTATGCAAGAGGATCACCTGGGAAACACCTGTAAAGAAAGCAAAGCCGGTCCTGGAGGTGTTCCATTCTGATCCTGATGTGTGTCTCTAGATGGAGCTGCAGGGGGGAAGGCGCCAAGTGCCCCAGAGGCAGAGACCTTTCTGATCACTGCTGTGAGGACTGAGTGGGCACGGGACCCATGCCCAGCATGGGGCTGGCACCGGGCAGGCCCGAGACCCCAGGCTCCCACCTTGGAGCCCACTGGCAGGTGCCAACTGAAGGAGCCCCTAAAGGGCCAGCATTGCCCAGCTCGGGGAGAGGAATAGCTGCTTCAGAACCTTCTAAACTACTTGTAGAAAATCTCTAAATCCAAATCAGAGGTTCTGGAAATTTTCATTTTTAATAACTGCGTGAGCTGAAACCCTTGCCCAGTGAAGCCTGTTCTGCTGGGCTTCTGGAGAACGGCCCCACCTGTAACACCCAAGCAGAGTCCCAGGTGAGTCTGGCCTCTCGCCCTCCTCCTGGGCCTCGGAGCAGCACTGGCTTGTCCCAGGAAGGTCCCCCGACTGGCCCTCACCGGCTGTAGGAAGTCCTCGGCCTTGGCTGGCGTCTTTCTCGGACAAGGCTAGAAAGTGAGGGGACCAAAAAAAAATCTTCCCACGCAGAAAGTTAAACCAATTGGGGTTTTATTTACACAAGAGGACAAGGAAGGAATACAAAAGAAGCCTCAAAGTCAAGCGTGTAAAGAAGAGCCTCTAAAGCTCAATTCTCAGTAGGGTGAGAATTAAAAAAAAAAGGTGGCGAGAAAGACAAGGCAAGAAGGTCATCTGCAACATGGGTGCCCCATTGTGGAGTAAACGACTACTCCGGCTGACAGGGTGAAGTTCATCTTCTGTCCCATGAATCCATGAACCTGGCTCCCAGGACAATCCCTGTGAGGTTTTGACTTTCCCAAGTCCTGGGTTAATTCTTAACTATACTTCAAGAATTTTAGGGCCAGATGTGCTTGGCCTGAGGGTATCGCTAATTTGGCGATAGGGAGGGGACAGGGAGGGGAAGGTTTTCGTCCCACAGGCCTCAGCCACTCATGTCCCTCCCTGGGCTCACATTTCCACTTCCCCAGAGACTCAGCATCCCTGGGCCACCGGGGAGGGGCGTCCTCCAGGCCCACCACAGGCTGCCTCCCTCTGACCGGCACGCCAAGCCAGCCTGACTTTCCCATGAAGCTGTGCTTCGCTTTTTCTCCAACTCACATCTCTTCTTTCCGACTCCCAGGGTGGATAGGCAAGCTATAATTATCTTACACGTGTGAAAAACGTGCCACTATCCACGTTCATCATTTGAGCTAAAATGAGGACATGGGTTTTCTCTTTTCCTCACAGATATTAATGCTGCAGGAACTGGGTCCAAGTTCATCTCAACAAGAACCTCCAGAGCAGGAAGCCGAGTCTAGCATCATGGCTGCAACTTCCTCCTCCACCCGTTCCTTTCTCTGTCCGTCTGTCTTCCCACCATCTCCACTTCCCAGTGCCATCTGGTGGGGGCTTGACCATCAGTGAAGCATGACCATGAAGGCCTCCTTTGCATGGCCTGAAGAAACTTCCAGGGGCAATAGGTAGACGTTGCCACTGACCGTGATCAGAGATAACGGGTTTGAACTTCTGGATAGTCTAGAAACAAAGTCAGAACAGTGGCCAATCCTGGGAGCTGGCAGAGGGCATGGCAAGAGGGACCCTTCTTTCTTTCATCTCCCTGTCCAACGGTCCAATGGCAGTCCGTGGGTCGTCCTGGGGGAGTGTCAGGACCATGCCTGTCTCACCCTAACCTTTGGACCCAGGTGAGATGAGGTCAAAATGGGCAGCACAAAAGTGGAAAGGAGGCCGCAAAGCCAGCCAAAGTGAGCTCATGGGCCTCAGAAGGGTTTCACGCACCAGCCACGGCACCTCTGGCCACCCACCTTCCCTGAGTCCCTACCTAGAGCCAGAGGCCTGGCCCACCTAAGATTTCCCAACGCTGACAACCCAGGACTCGATCCTACACTTCCACTTCTCTTATCCAGTACCCTTTTGTCTTGTTCCTACTTCCTTTGGACCTGTCTCCTACTTACTGGTTCCTCCCCTAAATCACACACTTCCATTTCCAGGTGTAGCGTCTCCCTCTCCCCCGAGCCTTGGTTGGCTTGGCGTAGAGATGTGGAGCTGATGTTGCTGGCATCTGAGGCAGGAGGCCCACGACCTCAGCCAGTCACATGTGTGTGGGTGAGTCTGGCCAGCCAGTCACACGTGGCTGGGCCGGACTGGGCCGGACATGAGCCCTCAGGAGCACCCCCTCACTGGATCCTTTCCACCCACCCAGCCTGCACCTTCACTTGCCATTTCTTTCCCTGGCTGCACGTTCATGTCAGAGAAGGGTGACGGTGACAAGCTTTTATCTACTTTAAACAGTCACGACACACTGGGAACACAGTTTCAAAGTGTCACAGCCTTCAAAGAGACTTTTCTTCCTTCCTTCTTCTCAAGCCTGTAATTAAACGCCTGGTGACAAAGGGGTGGGGGAAGGAAGGAGGTGGGGGACACGACTTCAGAAACCAGCCGCTCCTTTGGTGCCCTCAGAACCCAAGTCACCAAGGGCTGTGAGTGCCTGAAAGGTCGCGCGGCCTATGACTTTTCCAGAAGAATGTAGCAAATGATTTCACTCCTGTATTTTCCCTCCCTCCGTCTCCATAATCCCCACTCCGCTTGCCACCCCGCGTGCTCATGTGTGTTAAAGGTTTGATTCCATGCCAGTCCCCTGCCACCTTCATGGGAAGGTTCCAGTTTTAGCAAACGAACTCTAATCCCAAACCTAATCCCAGCTCATTTTCTGTGGGATTGCCCAACAGAGCCACCGTGTCCAAGAAACATGAAAAGCTCAGCAGATGGGAAAGGGTGTCCCGTTCATAACACTCATCCAGTTCAACAGAGAAAGGCCTTTTTTTTTCTTCTGTGGGTTCAAATCTAGAGTGCTTCTGGATTTGCATGGCTCCGGGAGCAGGGGCCTCCATTGCTCTCGAGCCGCAGCGGCTCCCACTAGCGGACAAACGACACCACGCTGGTAGCCACTCCAAAGGGGGCAGAGTAAGCCGCGGCGAAACCCTGCAGGCCGATGACCACGTAGCGGCATCCTTTGGTGATGACCTTCCCAACATTCTATTTTTAGGAACAGAAGAGAAGGGCAAAGGGTCAGGTTAGGCAACTTGGTAATTCCTCACGCGCAAGGGTGACATACATAAAGAACCATTTGCCTCGTTTTCCCAGGGCAAGTTAGGAGTTACCAGTTTGTCCCAAGCCCGCTCCTGGCCCAAGAACACGTGGGGGCCCGGAACAGATGTCACCACCTTGCAGAGTCCTTTCAAGCACTGCGTATTTCCAGACAATTCCGAGGTCTTGGAGACAGCAGTGAGGCTGCTAGCAAAGCCACCTTGACTTCCCGCTACCTCCAGGGTATATTTCCGTCTGACCCACACCTGATTCCCGGGACAATGCCCGGTGGGCTTCTCAGTGAGACATTAGGGTGCCAGTGTGTGTCTGTATGTGTGTGTAGGGGGAGGGGTTGCTAAGAGCTACATCTCTATAAAACGGTAATAAGATTCAGTAGGAGAATTTGAGTTACCTGTTTGAAATAATAACAACGAAACTATCCTCTGGGAGCAAGTCTAATAGTCAAGAGCATCCTTTATAAGCAATGCCCCTGGAATCATGAACGGCCTCTGTTAAACTTGACATTTTGAGTACTTGCACGTCCATTATCCTCACCCTGGTATTTAAAACAAGGGGGAAAAAAAAAACCAACTGCTGGTATTTAAAAAAACAAAAAGAAAAAAAAGTACTGCTTGTCACTTAATCTTTGCAATTTAGGGAAAAAAGCTACTAAAATAGCTCATTAGCAGGAACACTGTCAAAACACAGGTTTGAGAATACGTGAGGCAAAGACATGTGAACTATCTGTTGTGATACGGCCATTTCAGTGTCATTCAAGGGAGGAGGTTTTGTATTAGCTCATGTTACAGATGAGGAAACTGAAGCGGGGAGAGGCGAGCATGGCCCGAGGCCACACAAGCAGTGGGCGTCCAGCCAGCCGGGCTCCAGTGCCCACGTCTCATGGTGCCGTCTTTCTCCCTCTTGAGCTAAAGGTTATTCCACGCCCTACATTTCCCCTCTCCAACCCTCTCCTAGCTGCCCGATTAACAAAATTTAATTACTTTCCTAATCCACACTTCTCCCTGTAGCTCTCAGAGATGGCTTGGAAAAGGCACCTATTATTGGGTTGTCGGAAAAGTCATGACATATATTTTTCTATGTTTTTCATTGCAAAAATGTGTCATGACTTTTCCGACAATGCAATATTTTACAGTAAGTTTGAGGTTAGTTTCCTCACCCCACCTCCTCCGTCATCCCAAGTGCTTCTGCACAGGCAGGGGCCAGGTGACACTCTGGCTTCCAGCTCTGCTGTGCTCTAGCTGTGCAGCCTTGAACAAATAGCTTCACTTCCTTAAAACCCAGTTTCCATGGCTGCACAATGTGCTCCCCAGTTGAGGGGATTCAGAGATGTTGCATGTGATCTGTGCACAGAGCACTAGGCACTCTGCGAGAGGGAACACAGCAAACACATGCCCCTTGCCCTTCCCCGAGCCCAGAAAACAGCACTGTCACAACAATGAAGGGACCATATGACACTAGTATCATTACTTACAAATCAACTGGGAACCCTGTCCCAGACTCACAGCCTCCTTCCAGAGGCTGGACCAGCTCAGCACTGGAGTGGACCTGTTTGGAGCCATGGAGCTGCAGGGCAGTGTGATCAATCCTTTCGCATTTCACAAGGGCCAAACATTTCTCTTTACATAGAAGCAGGAAGGGAGTTGGGTGTAGAGTTTGAGCAGTTCACAGATGAATGGGAACTTTAATCACCTTTCCTTGAAGGAGAAACCAGCCATGCCTTCATATAGTCACGTGTCGCTTAATGGATAGGGATATGTCTGAGAAATGCATCATTAGAGAATCTCATCATTGTGTGGCCTTCATAGGGCGCACTCACAAACCTAGACGGTCCAGCCTACCGCACACCTAGGCTGGATGGTACAGCCCACTGTTCCTGGGCTACAAGCCTGCACCGCGTGTGACTCTAAGTGAATATTGTAGGCAACTGTCACCCAGTGGTAAGCACAGTACTTTTATACAACAGGCAGCTCACTCCAGGTCCCTTCAGTGCTAGGACCTCACTAGGTGACAGGAATCCCTCAGCTCCATTAGAATCTCATGGGACCACCGTCATAGATGTGGTCCCCCCCCCGTTGACCGGATCATCGTTACGGGGCATGTGACTACGATGCAGAGCTGTTTCCAGGTCATTCCTTATTCACTGGGCCCAAGTAAGGTCAAGTTTCACCTGGTGACAAAAGCAGGGGAAGTCCCCTCCCCACATTTCTAGCTGAGCTGTGGCTGTTCTCGTGGATTTTCAGCAAAGCAAGTTCAGCTGTGTTGCCTTCTCGGTAAATTCAGAAAAAGTGAAACTGAAGGTGGCTTTGTTTTGAAAGGCATTAAGGGCATGGCCTACCATTGCATGACCACGTCCCCTCACCTGGCCTGCTGGGTGTACTGAACTAGCGTGTGGCACATGTCCTCAGCGCTGCTCCGGCTGTTTCCTCCATCTTGGATGTCACCCCCTGTCTATCTGGTGACATTTTCTTTTTTTTCCTTTCACTGAGGTACAATTCACTAACATAAAACCTTCATTTGAAAGTAAACAATTCCGTGGCACTGAGTACATTCACAATGTTGTGTGACCACCACGTCTATGTACTTCCAAAACATTTTCATCACCCCAAAGGAACCCCTGGACCCATTAGGCAGTTGCTCTCCGTAACTGTCCCCTTCCCAGGCCTTGGCGACCACCAGTCTGTGCTCTGTCTCTCTGGGTTTACCTATTCTGGATATTTTATATAAATGAGATCATACCTTGTGTGACTGGCTTCTTTCACTTAGCGTCATAGTTTAGAGGTTCATCCATGTTGGAGCGTGTGTCAGAATGTCATTCCTTTTTATGGTTGAATAATATTCCACTGTACGTATACATTTTGTTGATCCATTGATCAGTTGATAAACATTTGAGTTGTTTCTACCTTTGGCTACAGTGAATAATGTTGCTATGAAAATGTATATATTAATATATACATGTATATATTATATACGCACATATATACATTTGTAAGTATACGTGTGTGTGGGTGTGTGTGTGTTTGAGTACCTGTTTTCAATTCTTTTGGGTATATACCTAGGAGTGGAACTGCTGGATTAGACAGTCATTCTATATTTAATTTTTTTGAGGACCTGCCAAATTGTTTACAGTATCTGCCCCACTTTACATTCCCACCAACAATTCACAAGAATTCCAGTTTCTCCACATCCTTGCCAACACTTATTTGGGAGTTTCTCTCTTTTCTTGTCTTTTTCTGGATAATAGCCATCCTCGTGGGTATGAGGAGTAGGACCTCAAAGTTAACCTGTGAAACCATAACTCCTTCTCAGCCCAGTTTTCATCTCACCATCGATTTGAAAGCTTGCCTGACTTCACAGCCTCATTCCTGAGGCTTCGCTGTCAGGGTCTGAACCATGCAGCCCCACGGAGGTGCCCCAGGTCCACCAGGTCTCCCTGGGAGACCCTGGACTTCTCTCTAGGGCAGGGCTGCATCGCATCCACTCTGCATCTCTCGTGTTTAGCACAACGCCTGGCACGTAGTGAGCCCTCCCAAAGCGTCCGCAAGTGCCAGCCTCTGAGCTGGGAGTTCCACATTATCAGTTCACCAGCTGAGGCAAATGATGGCTTCTTTGTGCTCGGCTGGGACCAGGAAGAAGGATGATTGGTCCTAGCATGACGCTAAGCCTGAAGGTCCCAACTTTAGAGTTTTCATTAATATATTTCACCTCTGCCTCCTTGTATACTGCTCCCAAAGCTGCTGATATACCTTTAAAGAGGATGATAAACCTAAGCGTCCAGGTATGGAGACTGGCTGGTTTCAGGTATGATGAAGGCCACTGGAGGACACAGATAACTGGACCATAAATCAGGCGGGGCCCTCAGCCTTTGGCCAGGACACAGGAGTTTTGCGATTTCCCCCTGGGTGGCTGTGCTCAGGCCCAGGGAGCAGTAGTAGCGTCCAGCGCTTCCAGGCAGGGGCACCTGGGCTTTTATCTCTAAGGAGGACACTGACATTTCATCCCATGTTCATGCCCCTGTTCCCTCTCTATCTCTCCACCCCCACCCTCACCCTGACCCCAGGCAAATGGCAGTATGTTTACATGCCCCAGAACACACAGATAGCTGCATATTTGTGTAGGTGTTGAATTCCCAGGCCCTGGAAATAACCTGGGGAATATTTGGGGGGGAATAACCCAAACAATTCTCCGCTAGTGAGATAGATATCCTGGATAGAAAGTTGCAGGAGAACAGATAAACCGGGCTGCAACTTTCTTCTTTCCAACTGGGTCACCTTCTAGGAGTCACCTGACCACGCTGATGCTCAGTATTCCCATCTCTAAAGCAGGGACATTGCGTTCTGTCCTGCCGATGACACAAGGGAGTGTAAGACACACCCAGGATAAGAACCGCCTTGGGAAGCGACCCTTGGGGCTGTTATTAACCAGCCAGCAACGGGGTAGCGGGTGGGGCGGTGGCCGGTGACACCTCTGCTGTAGTTTTGTCCTCACTTCCTAGGTCACAGACGGAATAGTTTTGGGGGCTTTAGTAGTGAATGCTGGCGAGAGGGTGGGAGTGGGGGGTCCGAGGGAAGACACGGGGCAGCCCAGAGAGGCTGAGAACAGTCAGACGGTGGGGACCCGGCTCCACCTCTCCCGTGGGTCCATCAGGAAGCTCAGGGCCGGGACAGTGGGCGACGGAGGGGGGGCCCTACCTTGCCGTACTTCTTCAGTTTCTGCCGGTACCTCCTCTTGGGCTTGTCGGCCCGCGCCGGCTCCTCCAGCGGCTCGTAGCGCTCGGGGAGGACGGCCAGGTGCACCCGCCGCGCGCTCCGGGCCGCGGGGCGCTCCGCGCTCGCTGCGCTCTCGGTCGCCTCGTCCCCCAGCTCCAGGTGCTCCAGGATGGCGCTCGCCTCCTCGTCCCCCTCCGTGCCCCCTCGCCCCCGGGGGCCGCGGCGCGACAGGCTACTGGCCGCCTTGCTTCGGAGCCTGGCTCCCACCGTCATGATGCCGCGGCCCCTCCGGCGACGGTCGGGGCGCGAGTGCCAAGACACCAACCTTTGCTCCCCGCCCGCCGCCGCCCGGACGGGGCGGGGGGACTTGAGGGCTCAGCGCCCTCTGGCCGTGGGGCCCGGGATTGCGGCGGCTCCACCTGGGCCTGGCCTTGGGAGGAGGGGAGCGCTCAGCCCACCTGCCCGCACCCCCACCTGTGGGTGAGGGACACCCCGAAAGGTCAATGCACCGTGAACTTACAGACCACATTCAACCGGAACTTGCCACGAAAGAAATGAGCCCCAAATAAGGAGGCTTCCTTTGTCCTCGTGCAAACGGGCAGATGATGATGATGATGATGATGATGATGAGAGTAATAAACATTACACTCCGTGCTGGTGAGGGCATGGCGAGATGATCGTGATAATACAGTATGCATGGGATGCGGATTGGTGACAAGCTTTTGGGAAGGCAATCAGGAAATACTTATCAAGAGTCCTGAAAAGTGGCCATACCTTTCTAGGTGCCTCTCTGAAGGAAATACTCAGAAAGGCAAAGGGTTGCGTCCTTGGAGTTCATCACAGTCTGACTCCAGTGAAAAATGGAGCAAACCCAGGCGGATGGGACAGGCAAAGTCCAGAGCAATCATGAGAAATCAGAGGATGTAATCATTAAAATGGCGATTCTCAAGAATACCGCTCTGGCAGAGACGCATTCTGTGTATTGTGAACCGCAACCTGTTCAGGATGCCTTATTTTCTTATGTGGGCAAATGTCTTTTAATTCTTGGAAACTTAGAGTGAAGTATAAAAGAATATGGGTTATTTCATTACTGTTTTAATGTTATTAAAATGTGTAATACATTTAAAATTGATTTGGATATATTGCTATAAAGAGATAAAATATTGATAATTGAGCATATTTGAATATTAAAAAGCTAGTTTTGTGATTCCAACTTAAACTGTATAATCAATGGATTTAGACTTATAAGTTTAAATAGAATGGAATACAAAACTAAGTTTAATTTACTATATTTATAGGAATTATATAGCCTGGTATGTGGTTGAATAATGTGAATATAAAATCAAATATATTAAGCTTGTAAAAGTCACATGCAATGGTGAAGGTAATTAAATTAAGTGAATGGTAAAAGTCCCTTACAGCGATTGTTAAATTTTATTTACAAACCTAATAAAATTGTTAAATTTTATTAGGTTTGTAAATAAAATTTAAAAATAGACGAGTTGAATTTAAAAGGTGATGGGAAGGTAAATTTGTGGATTTGTAACTTTACTAAAGTAACTATTAATTTATAAACTGAAGCAGACCCTAACAGTCCCTTTTCTATGTACAAAACTGATTTCAGAGACCCTCCTTTCCCAAGACTGCATATCAAATGGAGACAAAGGTGGGATGCCCACGGGATCTAAAATGTGTTTTGTCCAAAATATTGGGTTGTTGGAAAAGTCATGACGTTATTTTTTTTCTATGTTTTTCATTGCAAAAATGTGTCATCACTTTTCTGACAACCCAATCCTTTCCAAATGTCACAACAACATTTAGCTTGCTTGTTAAAGGCAAAACGCCACAGCAACTGAAAATTGATCTCCAGATTAAGTCTCTATCACCAGCGAGCAAGGACTCAAGATGTAATCAGAAACCATCTTTAGGTTTCTTACCATTGTCTGTAGAAGTTACTCAGTGTGGGAATGCTTCCTACGCTCCTGGGTAAAAAGTTGGGCAGTCCTATAATTTTTCTGATCACACAGTGGTAATTGAAAGTTTCCAAGCTGCAAACACGGTCTCAATTTATGTAATTGTGCATCTTACCATGTGAAATTCCGTATAATACTCAGAGCCTTGAACTTGACTTAATGTTAATCCTCTCTCTGTCTTCAGGAAGCCCCTGCTGTGGGCTGTGTGTGTGTGTGTGTGTGTGTGTATAAGGAGGGTAGGGGTTGGGGAAGCAACAAGCTTCTCTTCTGTTCACCCACCTGATGTGTCTCAGTTCCCAAGCTTGCAAACTGGCTTCTGGCCCTTCCAAGGCCCAAACAGAGAAGATGGCAGGCAGAAAAGTTCTTCCTTCACTGGGACTGCCCAAGATGTTGGCTCAACCTCTGGACCTGGCAGGTGTTTGGATGGCACTTTCCTTGGTTCTCTAGAAGCTCCCAGTGGAACATTCTATTGTACTGGCCACAGCCCAGCAAATGCCGTCTCACCTCCATTACGTTCTCCCTCCTCAATCCTTAGCAGTCCTGTGGGTCACCTCTGGCTTTCCTATCCTGAGCCTGTGTGCCCTTCTAGATGGCCACGTGGGACAGGATTCAGTATAGGGCATTCAGTGCTTCCAAATGACCAAAAGGGTTGGGAGAACAGGTGCACACTGGGCCACCTCCAGTGTAACTCCTAGAACCATCACAGAGCTGTTGCTTGTATTGCAGTCAGAAAGCTGGGGCACCAGAAAGATACCACCAGGGCAACACAGAGACATCTCCAACCAGTCTTTTGATGCTCACAAGATTGCAGACCAGAAACTGACACCTGGCACAGGAAAAATCCAACACCTGCAGGGCCATGTTTACTATTACAGCAAAAGCAGCAAAGCTAGCAGAAGCATGGCTTTCACCTCACGCTGCCTTCCAAAGCTCTAGGGAGTGTGCCTCATTATAAGTTAACTCGATAAATTCCCTCCAGTACCCAAGGGACTGTTTTCACTTCCTACTCTCAGCACACAGGAAAAAGCGTGGGAAGGATACTGAATGAGTGCTAATCCATAGGAATTTTACCTTAGTGCTAAGAATTAGGAACCTGCCCTCCAAAGGAGAAAACAAACAAACAAAAAATTGGTGAGCTAAAATGCATGAAAATATATAATCAGTTACTGAGTTAACAAAAAGCCTAAAAACAATTGCTTATTTGGAATAACTTGCACAGAAAGTGTTACAGGTATTTAACTGAAAACAAAGTGTCCATTTGTAGACACACAAAGATTTTACATTTTAATGTTGTTTTGTAATAAATGTGTGAATTTGGAAAAAAAGAAAGTGTGTGTGTGTATGTGTGTGTGTGGGATATTTATGGACCTGAAGTTTTATGAATTAAAGTTGTTTAAAACTCTTAGTTTATTTTTATAAGGCTTGGTTGGGCTCAAGAACACATATCTCTGGAGCTCATAAGAGCTGGTTATAAACAATGAGATAGATACAACAGCCTTAATTTCTTTACAGGCGGCAATCTAAAGTGAGAGGGGGAGCAGTTTTGAATTCCAGCTGAGTCCTAGTTTTTGAATAGCTCCAAAAGGGAGGATGCTCAACCCCCGACTCCTCTCAGGTGAAAACATTTATTTTTAAAAGATGAATCTTAGTTTTGGGGCTTTCTATATTAATTATCTTTCAATTCGAAAGGGGATAAAAAAATAGATGGCATAACAGAATGGAGAAATTTAACATTTGCGTTTGTTTTTGAGTATTTTCTTTAAAAGTATATCATGGGTAATCCATTACCTGCAGATCCCGTTGCATGCAAGCTTGGGAATTGCAGACATAGCACATTTTTATTTCACTTTAGGGGTTGGATTTCAGCTCCAAAGATGGAGGAAAGACTTGAGGTAAAGTGAACGTGGGATTCCAGTTAAAAGATGTGACCACTAACATTTGCTGCAAGTGTAAAAGGAGTGTCTTCCATAAATTGTTTCACCTGAGATCTGAAGAACTTTGTAAAATTCTGTTTTCTCTTTCCTAGAGGCCGCAAGCTGTTTCCTGTTTTAAGGCTGCTGTGCGGGGCTGACGGCTGTGAGGCCACCAGCGTGAGCAGAGCAGGGGCGGCTGGGCCACAGTTCTAATTAGATTGCGCTCATCTCTGGCCAGCCGAGCCTCAAACTTCTGGGAGGCCACATCATGGGGCCAAAGTCTTTGCTCTAGTCAGTATTTGGGCTGGGACGGGATTGGTGCCGCGTCAGCATTTTAGTTCACCTTTGGCACCAACCACTCAGAAAGCTTCCCAGTGCCCCTCCACGGCCCTTTCTCAGCACAATTCTGGGGAGTGAGGGGGCAACCGCTGGGCTAGGTGATCTGTTAATTTTTAAATTGGGGGCTCTTCCAGATTCTAGTTCAGCCTGCACTGGAACGAAAAGCTTGGCTGTTTGTCCTCGCCCTCTCCCCCAAATCGCCTTACAGTGCAAGGCAGGGCCCCTCCTCCGCCCGCCCACCCAGCTCAGTGACTTGTTCAGGAATGCCAGCTGCTGTGCCTGTCTGCTCATCCCTAACAGGGGCATGTCCCTTTCTGGAGTTCCGATCACCGGGGCTCCCCTGCAGCCACCACTCCTGGATTGCACTGTGGGTTGATTCGGGTTTGTGCGCGCACAGTCACGCGGGGCGGGATTTAGTACGTATGGGGACTTCAGAGCCTCCCAATGTCCTATGGCCAGACCTAGAGCCTTCTGACTCATTCGGCATCAGAGTCAGAACCCGAGATTCTCGTGGAAGAAGCTTTAAAGCTCCGGGACACCTAACATTTAAAAGAATTTACAGTATAACGAAATTAGCTCTCATTTGGTTGCATTTATCCAGAAGCCACTGAAGACTTGGAAAACGAGTGAGCTATTTGCACTTAATACCGAGGATAGAAAAAATATATATGTGTACAGAAATAAGGTCAGAATTATGGCCTTATAAGTTAAAAGGATCTTTCTGACAAAACCTGAAAAATCTGCATTGGTATATATCCTTCTTGGCCAACAGTATTTCATTTTAATACATGTACATATATACATATGCATATTCTAATGTATGTGCATATATACATACATACATATGTACAGGGGGTGTCAAAAATGTATACACAATTTAAGAAAAGAAAAAAGTGTATTAAAATTGTAATAATACATACCACTAACGAAAGATGAATACGAGTCATGTGTATACATTTTTTTGGCACCCCGGTATATAATTTCTTTCCTGGAGGTAGATTAAGATCTCTTAATTATTGGTACTTTATTTAGGAAAGAGCAACATGGAAAACTTTCACAACTCACATATATGGTAAAACTAAATAAATTACTATTATACTTCAGACTTGTAGTTTGATATGATAATATTTATGATACATGAT